CCAACATTTCATCATTGTTTTTTTTCCCCTCATGTTTGTTGAAAGGTTGTCAGGGCAACAAGCTTCCAATAATCAGACCATTGTGTGTTATTAACACGCCGAAGAAGCTCGACGGGAGGTTTTTGCCGACGGCCTCTCCTAACCTGGTGCTATATGACCGTTGCTGTGTCCGTGCATTTGATCCACACAGCAGTCGCTTTGTAATAACAGCAGCCAGGGTAGAGTCACCATTAACCCAGTATTGACCGAATTTGTTTTGCACCCGTAACAATCCAAATGGTAAAACTGTATGTGAGCTTGCAACTTTTTTATTTGTACTGGATATGTCCGTATGTTTTAGGATATGTGTTGAATCGATCTACTTGCCTGCCTGTTCTGTAAGATATTGATAGCACACTGTATCTATGAAGGCTCTTTTAAAGAAGTGAAGCGAGGATTTTTTTGAGACCTGATGAAAAATGCTTCTGTATGTATATGAAACCCCCACACAGTGTGCTGATGATGTGTCCACTGTTCTCGGTGTTAGTGCTGTGAATGAATTACCAGATATATTGTTTTTTTGGTTTTTTTTTTCTCTCGCCGTGCCCCCTCTATTTGCCCAACATTGTCGACACTAAATTCACTCGGGGTAGTAACTGTATTCACCAGATCATGAACAGGTTGTCGGTCGCGGCAGCACTGCACGACCGCACTGGATTATTTCTTCCTCATTGCCTTGTCAAGTGTAGGTTTTGTATGCCGAGCTATAATGTGAAGTGATTTACATTTGGGGAACTTTCTTGGTAATGGTTATTGAGTTGTAACGTTGAGCACTGTCGTTTGCCCTCTTCCACCTAATGTGATGCTCTTGCTCATGTATGTTTTGTAGGATAAAAGAGTTTTGGGGGAATTCATTGGTCCTGTCAGCATTTGACCCTATGTGTTGACTTAAGTGGATTAAAATAATAAAAAATGAAACCTCTTGTACAGGTCTTTTTTTAAATAATACATAATAATAATAATAACAACAATAGTAATACATGAATAATTCAAACATGCCTAAATTTAAAGTCATTGATTATTGTCTTTGTATCAAAGTAGCAAGTTTAGAATTTTTTTTATTCATGAAAATAATCCTGTCATACTTTTCAAGGGCTTAGACGTAACTTTAACCGTTACTTTCTTACAGATCTAAAAAGTTCCCACCTCTGTTTTACCTCACCCCTCTGCCAATCACTGCAGCTCAGCACACCAGCTCACTTGTGCTGCAGTTCAAACGCTGTACAACTCCACTACACAGTGATATATAAAAACACCATGCCAACATGTTAGATATCATGAAATTCTTTATCCTTTAGTTTCCTGATAATTTCCCAGGAAAGTGATAGTTTTTATGGGGGATGTGTTCTGAGATTAGAAATAAGGGTGAGATTGAATTTGGAAGCTGATCTCAGAGAAAAGAGAAGAACAGAATTGAAGATGGGATCAATTCGTGTAGAGAGAGAGAGAAGGTGGGATGCTGAATGGACAACAGAAGGGTACGTTAAGAGAACAAGACAAAGAATATTGGATGAGCTCATCCAGTATATGGCTATTGTTAGTATACAAATGTATCAGTATTAACAATCCAATACTGCAGTAGTTAATTCTGTAACATACACTTTACTGCATTTCTCACTGACACAGTGTCTGGCTGTTTCAACTCTCCATTAAATTCAGATGACGATCACACTGAGAGAAACTGAGCACAGTTCAGTTGCACAACACGAGTCTAAAAATGGTGGGACACTGCTTGTTATGTATGTATGCATTTTCAAATTGCTGGACCAAATAGCACATTGAATTGCCAGTTGCAAAATGCATTGCCAGTTGAATACGGAGGCCGCAGCAGTATGAAATGCTGTTGATTAAGCTTTCGTTCGCAATTTTCATCAAAAATAATTCAAACAAAATTGATGGTTGCTTTTCCACTTTGTATGTTAAACTCTGCAAACTGCAAATTGCAAAATGCATTACCATTTGAAGAAAGTGGCCAAAAAAATTCCATAGTTGTGAGGTGATCTCCACTATAAAATGTGTGGTTTGCCTATTGTTGCTTCAGTTAGCTGTGTGTAGAATGATGTGTGTGCTGCTTTTCAACATTTGTCTGAAAGGTTAGCTTTGTTCAGTCAAGATACGTGCCTTCTTTCTTCACATCACGACTAATTTAAGCCAACATAAGCTGATGTGGAAACTTTAATCCTCCACACATACACTAAAAATATACTTTTTTGACATCTTGTGTCGGGTAGTTAAACTTTTTATTAAAAATATTGATTCGTGCATAAGACTGTTTAGTCAGGGAGGAAGAGTGAATGTAATTTCAAGACTTTATGCAGGGGTTCTTTATATAATACTGAGCTCATGAATACTTTTATTAACATTTCTCTAAGACATTTTTTTTCCTTGCGGGTATTTTGCATAATATTGTTACTTTCACTTTTACCATCAATCTTCTTTCCACGCTTGATTACAAGATTCTCTTTGTCACATAAGAATTTAATTGGAATCAGTTAATTAGAGGGATACCGATGGAGCATTGTCTCCAGTGTCTTTTTATAATTAGTGCCTAATTATGCAATGCTTTCCTGGAACCTCTTTAGGGATGTGCAGATATGTTTAAAAAAAAAAAGAAAGAGATTGGTAAATTAATGAAGTCATCTGAATCAAATTCATTTATTTATTTTGGAGCCAAATCACATCCCGGCAGCGGATGAAACAAATGCAGAGAGGCAGTGAGTCACTAGATGGAGGCACAGAGTCGTGGCACTCAGCTTCACTGCAGCGCCTCAGTGTACCAGCGCTTCAAACGCTTCACCCACAGGGATGCCTCCTGTAAAACGAAGTGAACGAGACAACTTCGACGTCACACTGAGTGCACACATCAACAAAAGTTCTGTGATTAGTTGGAGAGGAGCCCCCTGGCTGTTTGACAGTTGTCCAATTAGGACTTAGCATGATGAGCGCACTGATTAAACCGGAGAGGGGAATCCTATAATGTCAACATCTTCAACCCACTGATGAGAGCTTTAGAAAAGAAAAAAAAAAAAAAAAGCATCAGGAAGAGTTTACAAAGCTAAGCCCTCTTGGGGGGAAAGAGTACAAGCATGAGTCACCAGCAGCACTTGCTATGCGTTCACTGTAGTGAAACACAGAGTGCTATTATAGGACCACAGTCCCTCCCGGCATTGATCTGTCATGACCAAAGTATCATCCATATTAATAGAGACTGTAAGCAATAAATTTATTCCTCCTTAGAATCAATGATTGTGGGCTCTATGGTGTACATATATCAGAACAAATGCAATGAGAAAATATAGATTGTACACTTATCGATAAAATTTCACCATGAATGCATGAAATTAGGCCGCTGGATAAAAACAGGAGGGGTGCTGCTCCTCTTTTCCGCTCACTGTATCTGACTCTGGAGAGGCTCTGGAGATCTAATTATGGTATTCATTACAGCTATTGCATTTGGAAGATGATATATCTTTATATAGCAGTGCGCACAGGTATTTGCTGGCCACTACTTTCTGCAAAAAAAAGATAACAGAGGGAGGAATGAATTAGGTCATCTGTACCATCTGTAGTTTATTACAGGAGCTGCTGGTTTTCTTCCTAATGGCATCTGTGCAGACACGGTGTGATTTACAGGTTCACAGATGTACCAGCCAATGACAACGCGGACACGGACCTGTACTCACGCTGCACTGCCGGGTCCCTCCCTTGCGGGAAAGCTGTCGACTCCACTTCTACGACTGAACTTGACACAGAGAGGGGGAGATTGGCTTTAACGATGCCGACTGCATCGCTTCCTCCTCACACTGACATAAGAAGTGCATCTCGGCAGTACGGAGGGAGTAGCCGGGAGAAGATAAATCGATAGCGTTGGCAGAGGTTGTCCTCTTGCCCTTTGATGCCTCTGCGTAAACAGAGACACTTTGCAATCTTGAACTCACACTAAAAACTTCCCCTTTGCAATATAGCAAAAAGCATCCACACTGAAGAGAACTTGCAAAGGCAAAGTTAGAGACTGTGTGCTTCTGAGTGTGGACGATAACTTAAAAAGACAAAAACACAAGGAGTACAGCCTGAGAGAAGAATGTCTCAGACTGCGTATGACTTATCGTGACATCTCTAAATCTGGTGGATTTTTTAAGAAGCTTGGGGGCAGGTCAGGATTGAGGCCAGCAGCCACAAGGTCAGTTAAAATTCCACAGAAGTATATTAAGACATCCATCTGGCACCGCTCAGAGGTACATGAAATTGTGGGAATGTGATGAACTAGAAGTTTTGAGGGGCTTTATATTTAGTAAATCAGCCCAATTCAAGGAACAAAGCAAAGAAATAACAACAAAGGTCCAAAATGAATCCCTTGTTAGGAATATGTCATACAAATTTATTGTATGTGACACAGAAATACGCGAGGTCCCTTGGTTTTTTTTTTTTTCCAACTGTGTACACAGCAGTACACAAACAACATTTTCACTACAGGAACAGCAGTAGGCAAACTTTGGAGACAACAGGAGCACCGGCATTTTTCCAATGAGTGGTGATATCATGCAATATATAAAACCTTTATATTTATACTTTTTAAGCACATTTAAGCTGCTCTTCTGTGATATAAAATATGTAAACATTTAGAAACCTTTTGGTCCACTTCAGGGGAGTGCTTTCTGATCTTATCTCTGCACTTTTGTAAAATCTGACCCTTGACTTGTTTCCATCTCTCCAAAGCTGTACTCTGCAGTGTTTAGAGCTTAAAGCTATGAGCTTAAAGGGTAAAATATAGTGTTTATTATTTCAATCTTATATCAAAGAAAAGTAAAGATATCAAAGCTGAGATATTTAAAATTTAGATTTCAAAGCAGACACCATTTCATCACCGCTCATTCTTTGTGTTGGTTACAGAGCAAAAGGAAATATATTCTCATGTGACCTTGGAAGGGGAGTCATAACAAATGCATGAAGGATTACAGTGGTTATACAGGCTCTCCTTTTTCCGACAGGGACAGTTGGTGGATTTTAATGGTGGGAAGGTTTCCGATAGGAGGGGGCTGGACGCAGCTTGACTCCTGCGGGGGAGTTCCAGCGCTGAGGATGCAGCAGCAGGTCCGGTGGAAGCTTTTATTGCAGAGTTTAGCCACTTTAGCTCTGCTTGTTTCGGCTGGTCCAGATCCGCCAGTGGGACCCTCGGAGAAGGCCCTCCATTCCCTGCTGTCCCTAGAGGAAGGAGTTCTGGACAGGGCCATAGATGAGGAGGGGCTGAGTCGACTGGGAGGCCCCCTGCTGTCCAGGCTCAGAGTGAGGCCCTGGCTGTGACCTTGCGGTTGACTCTGACCTGCACTCAGATGATGGTGGTGGGGTCTGGGAGTCATTCTCAAACAGTGAACTCCGAGTAAACTCTGGAAAGCTTTCTTAAACTCCTGGTTGGAGCATGGGTAGATGATGGGGTTGATGCAGCTGTTGAAGTAGCCGAGCCAGAAGGCGATCTTGAAGACGGTGTCTGAAGGTCTGTAGGCAGGGAACATGGAACCTGTAGCGGCATCAGATACAAATATCAGTGGAAGAAACAACAAAATCCCAACTAAGATGTACAGTTTCAGACGGCATCTACAGCCCTGCTAACCCTTATAAGAGCATAATGCTGCTACAGACAAACACTGGTGGTTTGCCACCACAGTTTATCTGTACTAGTAACCTTCTGGTAACAAGTTTACCATTAGTGGTAAACATCCATCCGTTATCTATACACCACTTAATCCTCCCTAGGGTCGTGGGGGGCTGGAGTCTATCAGGGCGAAGGCAGGGGACACTCTGGGCAGGTCGCTAATGGCAAGGCTACACTTAGAGACAAACAAGCCCACTCACATCCACATCCAAGCACACTCACACCCCCTACGGACAATTCAGAATCACCAGTTAACCTCAGCATGTTTTTGGACTGTGGGAGGGAGCCAGAGAACCTGGGGAGAACCCTCGCTGCATAGAGAGAACATGCAAATTCCAAGCAGAAAGATCCCAGGCGTCCTAACCAGGGATCTTTTAAATGTAAGGCAACGATGCCAACTACTGAGCCACCATGCAAACATGTCAGTTTATATTAGTTTATGTTTGCCATAGTTAGCAAGCTGCCAATGATGGTTTCTGGCAGACAGTTGCAGTTAACCTTTGGCGATGTTGCCGCAATTTTGCAGCAAGGTCATATTTTCATATGCAAATTAGATCTATAGCAAATTTGCTGTAGACTTTTGTCTGACTTTGTGGAAAACCTTGCAGAAAAAATTGCCACAAATTGATGGGCTCCAGCCCCCCAGTGACTGTATAAAGTGTGTAAAGGTAATGGATTCATGGTAACTTTTAATAAAATTAGCCAAAGATCCACTGCAAGTTTGACACACTCAAGGCCAATTCAGGATTTCTGCATGACCAATGCATACCTTAAAAGCGGACAGCGGACAGCAGATCACGCATGCAGCTCTACTCATGTTACTCTTGGTAAGTGTCTGCTATGTAGACAGTCATATCGCCCCTCATATCGAACACAGAAAATGACACTGCGCTCCCTTGGGTGTTTTAGCAAGGCTGGTGGTGACCTTGCATTTTTCACAGGATGGCAGTTACATATTGGGCTTTACACTTCATCAGTGTGATAATTCCTGAGGTGTTCTGAGCACTGTAAGCAGCTATAGCAAAGGATTTCTGGAGAATTTAGAACTTTGTATGGTTTTGTTAACTGAAAGCGTGTACAAATTAAAGCAACCAAATCAGTTACAACTCTTGAAATCATAAATTTGAAAAGCTTTGATGATTCAAAACATCCTTGCGCAGGGATTCCTCATACTAAACATTTCTTTTAAGCACCATTTGCTTTCCTACATGTGTAAACAGGCCACAGAGGGATTTGTGCAGACCCTTGCAGACTTGGATGGATGATGATGAGGATGATGAGGATGAAAAAATGATTCAATCCCCATAGACCCCTATGGTAAGATGGCTGACTTTATATTAGAAATAAACATGTTTACAGCCTGGTACAAAAAAATATTTTGGTCTCTATGTATTTTGGTGTCTGTAGGGGAGGGTCTGTCCATCTTTATGTCCAGTCTATGACGCATCCTGGGAAGATATGTATCAAATTTCACAAGAGCCCATCCAATAGTTGTCAAGATATTTCACTTATGATGGCGCTAAATGAAAAGTCAGGGAACCACTGGGATATATCCTGTGGAAAGTATGATTGTCTGTAAAAATGCTTGGGCCAGTGCACCACATAGACGTGATGCTATTTCACTAATAAGAATGAGAGAAAGGCTAGCTGGGGACACCGGAGAAAAAAATCTGTGCATCCACAAAACCAATTGGACTCATCCTCTGGGTACAATTTCTGACAGCCCATCTACTAGTTATTGACTGAAGTGGCAAACTGACCAACACTGCCTCGAGCCATGCTGATAGCATAGCTAAAGGATACAGTTTTTAGAGTGCTGGTTACTTGTCCTGGTGTCTGTTTCATCAGAGGCTGTTTTTATACGCTGAGAGAATCCCATCATTGCACTTATTTATATCTACTTATGACACTTCATCGCTCACGCTTTCATCCAGTTTCCAATGAGTATTAAGTTCCCTACTTACTATCAAGGTTAAGGATTTTATTAAAATTGCTGTCATAAATGGTGCTTCTTTTGATTATAGAGAGCATTCATGGGAGAGACTGAGTGGGATCTTTAATGAAGAAGCAAACGTAATGCCTTAACGGGAAAATTACATGCAGGGCTGTTCACCGTAAGTGACTCTTCACATATTCAGCGGCTGCCAGTGAAACATTAAAATAATTAAATGGCTGACTTCTTGTGGGGATGCAATATATCAATCTAGCTACCGTCTATTTTCAGAAGTAGACAGGGAGAAGCTGTCTTGTGAAATGCTTTATTGGGGAAGCTGTTGCAGACGGTTAAACGTGAGCTTTGGAAAAATGAGACTGTGATATAGAGATGGATAGAAAAAAAAGAGAGGTGGAGGAGAGAGTTTGAGGGAAAATGATTTTGTGTCTGGCTGTACAGCTCATACATTTTATCCCCAGCTGTGCCAAAAGAACAATTCTATTATTGCTGTACCCCAGATAGATTCATTTCTTGAGCAAAAATAGGAGAGTATTGCAGCTGTTAGATAAATGTTTTGTTGTCTCAAATCAATGAAGCATCAGTGGGTGTGTAATTCCATTTTTTTTCGGTGTTACCTTCAATTAAACCACAACATATTTTGGCCTGAGAAAGTTACATGACCCCCTTCAAAAACTGTTGCATAACATGTGGTCGGTTTGCAACAAAGGCTGCTTGTCATAGTTGCTGAGCTACAAGGTTTTTACCAAACACTAACAAAATGTCAACTCTCTGAGAGACAAAAAGAAAGAACAGAGTGGAAGGGCATTTGTTGCGCAATTTACATCATTGAACCAATACAAGTGCTACCAACACAAAAATTAACTTTAGTGTCACAGCTATAAAAATATTTAAGAACCTAGAGCTGTTCAGTTAATGTGGAGGCAGCAATAATTGATTTTTGGCCACTTGGTGTGATTTTTAAAGTCACAAATTCAGAATCATATCATATCAATATCATATCAATATTTATATTATTAGTCATTATTATTTTGGCCATTGTAAATATGTACTGATAATCTGATATTGTGAGTGTCTGAATGAAAAGTTTTGTTTCGGACCATTTGATGAATCTAAGTAAAACATTCACTCTTCTTTTAACTCTCTCTTAGTTTTCACCGACTCCTGTGTATAATATCTCTTTACCTGCAAAATGCTAATTTATTCTTTTTTCACTAAAAATGTTTGGTGCTAAAACAAGAGAGATGAGATTGAACCAAACCTGATGCCTTGAAAAGTGAATATCTGTGGGTTTGTCAATTACTTCACCACCATTACCTGCCCATAGGGTAGCAACTTGTCGCCACAAGGCAGCCCTGTCCTGATATGTACTCTACTTTACTGTCAATTTTATTCAAAACGGGGGCATAATTCACTAAATCAACTTCATGTTATATTGAAGGAGACTTCAAACTAGCGACTGACACCATAAACCCATAAGGAAAATCTTTACTGCGGTGACAAATCAATTGAGAGGTAGGGTCATTCGATTGATTTCTATACAGTCAGACTTCTTTTTGCAACCAGGAGTCGCCCCCTGCTGGCCACGACAAAAAATGCAGGTTTAAAACACTTCCGCATTGACTTTATTTGCGAGATTGCATACATTTTTTTTTCATTCAGCCGACTGTCACTACAAGCAACACCTTTACGATTACACAGTTTTTTGACCCAGTTAAAAATGTTGTTGTGCAGCTATAAAGACAAACCAAACACCAGCTAAAACTCACAGCAAATCTTCTGCCATGACATCACTGTTACATACCAAACCCCACCTGAACTTGAAATTTTCAATGTGGATGGATGAGTGATGGTAAGAGCGAAACACAACAACGAGTCCAAGCTGGACTTGAACTGGAGAGATCCCAGTTTATGGTCAATATCTTGACATCTCATGCCACAGAGGTACCCTACAGAGCATCCTTTATATTAGCATGCTCTACACTTCCTAATAGCCCCTGACTTGTGAAATGTCAAGGACAGAGGAGGGCAAGTCATAAAGAACCCAGAGCCTGATAATTCACTTTTTTTTTTCTTCTACTTTTTAAAAAAAATCTTCAATGACAGAGTAGTGTTTACTCCAAAAAACAAAATAAGTCAATTATGAGGTACCCAGCTCTACATGTCAAACCTAGACTCCTGCTAGGTGATTCATTGCTAAGGCTATTATTGTACACAGACTGTGGCAGCGGCATACACAGCAACGCCAGTATTAGCAAGGGAGCATTGGTAAGGCTTTTCCTCATTTCCCAGTCAGGAAAGTGCTCAACCAAAGCAGCTATATTTACAAGCATGAGAGCATGGAATAAATAAAAACCCTGCTGATTTGTGAGGGCTTTGCAATATCTCATATCTACTTGGTTCAGATTTCACCCTCACATTCCCTCCATATTGACAACGGCACATATATAGTGCACACAAGGCTGGCAAGCTGCATGATTACTTTCCGTCAGGTTTGTCTTCATGAAGCTGGGGTGCTCTTGAAGGTAGCATCACATCAGGTCTGACACCAGTGTGATAGCTTTATCTGTCATAAAAGGACCAGCATTGTGATGAAGTGAGTCACAAGCACAAGCAAGAGACGTAGCAGGAGCAGAGAAATGGCTTGACATCTCATTCAAAGGTTTGAAATATATGTTGGTCCGAAATTCAGTGCTTTTGTTTACAGACAGGGGAGCACTGAAGGATGTCAGCCATCTGAAAGATTTATAGAGCCTATTTATAGAGCGTCTAGTGGCCGAGTCGAAGCATTTACTACGCTGCTCAAGAGGCCACAAGGCTTGTCCGAATGCTAGTAAATTCAATGTGTGTGCCCACAAAGGAGCAATTCAATTAACATGATCTAACTTTTTAATTTGCCAGCACTTAAAAGCCTGGCAGAGGAATAAATCGATGAATGGAACTGTAAAACTAAGTCATGCAGAAGTTAAATAGCTCTCTAAAAGTGGTCTGACTCGTGTGTAAATGTGGGTGATCAAATGTTTTTATCCTATACAGTCTTGTTGAATAACGATGGTAAAAGGCACATCATCGACTGTCTGTGCTTCTGGGAAATACTTTAATTTTCTTTGTTAAACAGAGTTCAAGGAAAATACTGCTCTCATATACATTTTTTTTTTCAAAATAAAGCCAGAGCCAGGACATTGTGAGCTCAACTTAACTTACAAACAAAATGGAAACAAGCCATCTGGACCTGTCCAGTGGTAGCCAACTCTTAAGCTAAGGGCCCTAAAAGGTTACAGCAGCCTGACAATAGTACAATTAGAACATTTTGAACAATTTTTTCCTGTTTTTTCAAATTGGTTGCTTTGCCCTGAAAAATAGTCTTAGACAATATCTGCCTTGTAAAATTAGGAATCAAGAGCAAGACAAACACAATTTTACTCACCAATGGGTAGCACCAGGAAAAAGGGCAGCCAGCACAACACAAAGCAGCCAACCACGATGCCCAAGGTCTTGGCAGCCTTCTTTTCTCGTGAGAACTTGAGCAGTCGCAGGGCGAAATGTGTGCGGCTGCGAAGGGCCTCATCCTCTGATACAGTCGTGTTGCCTCGGTGCATCCTGAGTATCACCTGCTCTGAATCGGACTTCTCCGTCTTTTGGCCCTCTTTCAGCCCTCGGCTCTCTCTGTGAGCGACCACGTACACTCGACAGTACATGACCAGTATGATGGCCAGAGGGACATAGAAGGAGCCCAAGGCAGAGAAGATGGCGTAGCCCGGCTCCTCTGTGATCTTGCAGATGGACTCGTCCTCTGGTGCTGGCTCTTTCCAACCAAACAAAGGTCCAATAGATATGATGATAGACAGCACCCACAGCAGCATCACTGCCAGCAGAGCTCTGCGTTTTGTCACTATAGCAGGGTAACGCAGAGGGTAACTGACTCCAATGTAACGGTCCACAGAGATCACACAGAGGCTCATGATGGAGGCCGTGCAGCAGAGCACGTCCACAGCTGCCCAAACATTACAAAAGACCCGTCCAAACACCCAACGATCCAGGATCTCAAAAATGGCAGAGAAAGGTAGTACAGTGGAGCTGAGCATCAAATCTGCCACTGCCAGATTAACTATAAAATAATGCGTTACCGTCCGCAGGTGTCGATGGCAAACAACCGAAAGGATTACCAGGATGTTTCCCACAATTCCAAACACGATGAAGACACCAAGCACCAGGCCCAGAACCACAGCCTTGACCACATTGAGCTCTGGGACTAACGCATGGCTGCAGTTGGAGCAGTTCTGTGTCAGAGGAGGTGGGGTCATATTGTCCATCACAGGAACCATCAGTTTCAATACTACGATGGTACTTAACACTGTCCTGTGCAGCAAAGGTATACTGAAACACGGACCTATTTAAGTTTACTGCAGAAAAGGGACATCAGGGCATTCTCATAAATGCCATTAGAGTAATGATCACATTAAGGCTGTCTTGTCAAAACATAATTTGAATGATGATGCCTCGAGCAAATGAGCCACTACACTGGCAATGCATCAAGGAAAATAAAACGACAAGATGCATGCAGAAACACTGAGAGAAAAGCATAATGTATGCAGATGAAATCTGCTGTGTTGAAATCAGGTAATCCATCTTGAAAATATTACTGATGTTAACAGTGTTATTATGCAGCTTGTGCAGAATAGTGTTAGAAATGCATTACATAGAAGTTAGACAGATGGGCATGTACCATCTAGGAAGACTTCACATGTTCTCTGAATCAAAATGTGCAGTTTGGGTCCAAAATTCAAGCCTTGTCGAGGCAATTTGGTTCGTGAGCAGTAGTCAACATCCAGACGTCCCTGTTCTCTGGTGAACGCAGGTGCATATTCAGCTGCAGCTTCAACACAGCGACAGCAGACAGCGACAATATCCAGAGCCTTTGAAAAGAGAGAAAGAAGAATTGAATTTGAGAGCACTGACACAGCCACTGCATACGGTAAATCACAAAAGCATTCATTATTGTTTTGTCCATTGTTTTTTTCAGTTTTTTTCTTTTCCATACCTCTGCTCAATCTATCAAGACTGTGGGTGAGAGATCATGTCTGAGCTGCAGTTGCTGTCAGATCAATCTGACCACAGTCTCTTACCTTGCTTATCGACTGATCGCAATGCGAGGTTGAAGGAATACAGAAAGCATCGGGACTGACCAGTGGCCTGTTTCACTGAATGGTCAGGGAAACATCACACAGCTAAACGTATGGACAGTATTGAGCCAACCCAGAATAGCTGCACTGTCAGCAGTGCAACAGCCTCATTCATGAGAGGTATCAGGTATTTTCTTGCCGCTTTGTTGCATTAATATGATCTTCAGTTGACCTATAGTACATCAAGATAAATCTGACCTTGCTCTTAATCCTTCCTTTAAATAAATCAATAATAGACTGTAACCTCTAAACCTGCTGGAGGTCAAAACAATACACACTGCTACGGTTGACACATTGACGTGTTTGTATTCAAGGGTAGTTACAGTTTCAGAATGGATTTAAATAACATTACATGATGGGATTGTGTAAACATAGCACGCTTCTTCAGGCATAGTTTGCAAGTGGACGCATTTTAGGTGTTTTTATTATATACACTGAAATGGTTCCAGTTAGGGTTAAGGTTAGGGCGAGGGCGTTATTTGTCAGGACGACATGGTGTGCAATGGCATGCAAATGCACAAAATAAGTTCCGATAACATGTGATGTGACTTAACGTGTCACTCATGTGCCTTTAATGACACAGTGTCATGGCTGTTTTAAAAGAACTGGTTGGTTGACATGTTGGGAAAATATCCTTATCCAATGTTTTTAGTTCATATTTAATGAAAATTAAAGTTAATTTCTGGTCTAATGACTATTTTTGGCTAGCTGTTCCCACTGCTTCAGTCTCTATGCTAAGCTAAGCTAATTGTATGCTGGTTCTTTTCTTCATAGTTAATGAATAGTTTTATTTCAGATTAAACAAAAACATAATAATTTTGTGAGTTAATTACTGAGCTTTAGAGGAGCTGATTGGTAGAAATTCAAAATAGTCCCCCCATCTGCTAAGTTAAGCTAACTGTTGTCTAGAATTAGCTCCATACAGTATTAAACATTTTAAATTCTCTGCGCTCATAAACATTAGTTCCTCTGCTCTTTTCAAAATGTCAGGTAAATGCACCAGTTTAAAGTCATTCTGACTTGTGAAAATATTAAATGAGCTGAGTTCAATTAACTTAACCTGAGAAAACAAGTTCAATAAACTAAAGGTATTAAGTTCAATCAACTAGTCACACAGATGGTGTTTACAGACTTACTTTTAATTTATATTTTCCAAGAGTTTCTTTTCCTTTTGACATAAAGAACTTACAGCCTCAGCAGTTTAAGCCATTTTTTACTGGAGAAAACAAAAACAACAATTTGTGAGGATGGGAGCAGTTACAGTGAGACAAATTATGAGTCTAGGGACAGAATTCAGTACTAACTTTTGTCATGGTTAACTTTTTTAAAAATGTTATGAAAGGAAACAATAACCACTTAGGTTAAGATACACTGCGAATTTTCACCACATTTTCTTAAAATACAACAAAACAGGAGGTTCTGCGTAGATACAGTGCATCCTGAGAAGTCTGCTTATATGCTTATTTTGTTTCTTATAAACTTAATTTGATTAGTTTAATGAACTTGCTGCTTTTCATTCACTCAACTAAGCATTTTAAGTCAAAATACCTCAAAATATAAGGATTCTTGTTTTATTTTTTTTAAGTGCCTTGAAATGAAAAATAATATTTTAAATTCAAGTAACTACAAACTAATAGAACAAATATAGCTATATTAAATAAACTAGAAAAGATAAGTTCCATCCATCCATCCATCCATCCATCATCTATACACCGCTTAATAGGGTCACGGGCGGCTGGAGTCTATCCCAGCTGACTTAGGGCGAAGGCAGGGGACATTCTGGACAGGTCACCAGTCTATCACAGGGCCACACTTAGAGACAGACAACCAAGAACACTCACAATCAGAAAAGATAAGTTGATTTGTCTGAATTAGTATATTATGTTTATACAGATGTGAGTGCAGTATCCATCCTGTCGTCTATCTCTGTCTCTCACAGGAAAAGGATAATTGGCATATTTCCCCAAATGTCAAACTATTCCCTTAACCTTTCTCAAAGAAGGAGGGTAATTAAAATGTTTTCAAATGTGGTTATGTATTTATATACAACGAGCAAAATGAGAACTTCAGTTGCCCAGTTCCGTTTCTTAGTTGTGCACTGATCCTCCAGCAGTGTTGATTTTGGCCTGAATTGCTCCCTCTGGCTTTGATGCATTAAATTAATTTCATCTTGAATGTTCTGTCTTCCAAACAATGCCTTAGTGCCACACGAACCCTCTCTAGTTTGACAGATGTGAAATTAATCTTGTCTGTGCAGATTAAATACATGTAGATTAGATGAGACGTGTGGCCATGTTGACGATGTTTGGATTTTGTTAAGCTGATTTATTTGAGACTAAATTAAAAGTTCATCCGAGTTGCCCTCTTTTCTACCAACTGCATTTACTCTCTGTCTATCTATCTATCTATCTATCTATCTATCTATCTATCTATCTATCTATCTATCTATCTATCTATCTATCTATCTATCCATCCTTGTGGAGGCATTACACTGTCCCCTCAAGCCTCCCCCCCCCTCTCCTCCATTGCTCCTCGCCAAACTATTAACCGCCAGCTGACCTTTTCCTCTGCGCCCCACAAACCCCTGCTTCACTGTAGACGCTCAGATGTTTAGCATGTTTCACTGATTTTTATGTCTCAGGTTAGCCCCAGCGCTGCCGGCATGGTGCGGCAAAGTCTGCAGTCACCACCTGAGAGCTTCTCCCACCCACTCAGGCAGAAGAAGGAGGCGGGTAATAATGCCTATAAGGTAATTATAAAAAGTAAGAGTTACATGTTTATCCACAGCAGCGGTGCGGGAGCTCATTACACCATCATCATTTTGCACTGTTGAAAAGATTAAGTTACCTCAGCTTAAAATATTAACTGTCCTTGCTGCATTAACACCGCTGCAATTGAGGAAATAAGCTTGATAGATTTACTGTAGGACTACCTCGCTGGTATCAATTCAGTCGTGATTTGCTCTTCGTGTCTCCATATTCTCTCAGCAGTGAAGGAGTTTCAGGTCAGTATATATTAAAGGATTATGATGACAGATGTTCATATCAGTGCCAGTAAAAAAACATAGATTTTTATCATTTGTGACTGCTCTGTGGTTTCATTACATTTACAATAAAGAGTAAGAGATTGACTAGATGACTAGATTACATGTTGGAAAGATTTCCAATAAGTCAAATCAAACTTTAATATTTCGTCTAGTGTATATTTTAGGATCGCAGGATTTAAAGATCCCCATGGATGAAAATATGGTTGTTTTTTTATTACATTGTTAGCATGTCTATATGGTGTTTTTATATTCCAAACGACATTTCATGTGTGAAATATGCAGTCATGGCTGAGCATTTCCATCCCAGTGACAGTCTCAAAAACACAGATTCAGAGTTTCATACGTAAGAATCCTAACGAGCCAATCCTGTCAACTTCTGTGGTGGGACTTTCTGCGTCATTATTCTTCCTTAGAATCGGTTTCCAATTAGAACATGTACAGCTGAATTACTCTACTACTACCACTTGACATTGTGTAGCGTAGAGTAATAGTTTTACAGTGTTTGAGCAGAGTCTGCAGGGAGAGCTTGTGTGCTCGAGCTGCTGCAAATGGCGAGGTGGGTGCAGAACGAAGCAGAGACATTCAAGGGAAAGCAATCATGTAAAGCAACCTCGAAGGGATTTTTTAATGGAAAAAATTAGAAAGTTATAAGGGTTTAACCAATTGCCAGAGAAGAACTCAAACTGCATGGTTAAAATGAATGATTCTGACTTAGATTAAAACTGACATGCTTACTTTGGGCATCTGCTCAAAAACCTGTTGATTTCACTGAACTGCAGGATGAGTGTGAGGAGGATGGGATTTCATTTGGATTGGATATCCTCTAGATCCACTGGCTAGGCTCTCCTCCCGCACTGATCTGTTTAATATTCATACAGAGCAGCGCACATCTTCAGCGGTGGTTGCCAAGTGAAAGAGCAGGCGTGCTGCAGGGTGACCCCAAACCAGTGAGCAGCTCCATATAGAGGTAGCCGGAGGTTAACTATGCTGTAACCAAGGACATAGGAGTAATTTGCCATTGCTTTGATTTTTTTTAGTAGATGTTGGAGGTCCTTTCTTTTTACAAGAATGTTTCTCTATACCGCAGAATAAATAG